ACTCAACAAATCGCATGCATCCACCCGGTGCATTATCATACGTTGTTCTCAACGGTTCGGCTTGGGCTGCGCAATCGTACGACTATTCCTGCAAACCTAACCTCGAAACACGATAACTACATGGCTATCCTAGACATGGACTTCTTAACGACCCGAACATGGAATTCTCACCTCAAGAATGATCACAAAATCATCACTACGCCGCATTCCTACGCTAAAAGACACGGCATAACATCACATGCCGCTGCGCAGTCCAACCCAGCTAGCCGGGGAACCCTCCGTTAATGAACAACAACCATCATCACATCATCGCTATCACATCTCGACTAGCCGGTGCCGCAACGCCCCGTCTGCCGTTATCATTATCTGCATTGCACATCGATGAAAGGATCTCGATTCGCGAGCTGTGGTAGCCGGGCCAATCAGTAGTGATGGTAGCGAAGCGAGCAGCAAGGGCCATTGTGGGTTAACAAAGGGATTACTGAACCAGGCATTCTGTGCGAGAATGCTGTGCAGGACGGGGTGGCTTGAAATAGATCCGAGTGAGATCTTGATCCTTTGGACGGATAAATGTATATACATTGAGGGAAGATGGCGCGGGTTGTTGGAAGGGAGGAGTTGGACGCCTACGTGCTAGTGCTTGGCAATGGCAGTTGAGACGTAAATTGTTCGTGCCGGCGCATCGCTGCGAGTCACCTTTGTGGGTAGACTTCCTATTCGTCGGATCTTTATCCCGCCTATGGAGATGGAAGTTTGTGTTGCATAGAGCTGGAGAGCGACTCGAGGGTGCGATACGAAGCCGGCGAGTAATGGAGACTCCGACGCTGCTTCGGGACTTTGCATTCCTCTATTGAGATCGCCATGAAACATCTTGCTTTAACGGGCATCGTGGAGACGAATACGAGGAGTTTCTTTTCACAAAGTACCGTACCTAGCCTTACAGAGTACCGTAGGAAACCGGCTTCGTGGCTTTGGTGATGCCCAGATGTGATGGCCAAGAGCTGATCAGTGATACCTCGCATGATTGAGGAAGTTTCAACAAAGTCAAACCGGATTTCTGGCAACACTGTGACATTTGTCATTGACCGACAATTCGTAAAATGAGGATGACTATACATCTGATGGTCCTCGGTCGTTTCGCGGAACTGTCATAGCATTGGGTCCCGACCGGCTCCCGAGTCAGAGGAAAAAGATAAAAGCTACTCAGTATACTTGTCACTCAAGGAAAGTATCGTACGCACTGCTGCCTGATGCATGCAGTATGTGAGTCGTTGTCGTGCGTGAGTCGTAAGTAGTACGAAGTTCGTGCTATCTCGAGGAGCCGCGTCGCGTGCGCGGGCGCGGCTGCCATCTCGCTTGTTCCTCCCTGCCACCCATTTTTCCCCACCATCCCATTTCTCTTCTCTGTCTTTCGGCATCGTGCCATCACCGAAATCCATCGGGGAAAGTCTCTACGCACCCGTCACCGCCTGTTCCACGTTCGAAACATACGTCTCCATTTATGCACCCTGTACAGGATGCTTCCACTGCTGGTACGACACGTAAGCCTGGAAACCCGAGATTCCGAGGCCAAGGATTCCGATGATTACCGCGATGAAGACTCCGATCATGGTTGCCATCATCATGTACCGCTGCGCACTGTGTCGATGGAACCAATTTGCCCAGTCATGGCGAGGAGTTGGGTTCTGCATTTCGTCGTAGATTTCCTTGAGGCGAGTACCGAAGTAGGTGTGGTCCACCTCGGGGTCGTCTCTCCGCCGGTATCGGGACACGTCGTATCGCAGCACGTCTGGATCGAAGCCGCATTTTGTGATGTATGCACCCGACCGGTCGTCAGGGAAAAGGATGTTGTACAGTATGTCCAGGACCTCCAGGGCGAGCGATCGTGGAACCAAGCAGCGACTTCCATCTGGTCGACTTGCTAACAACATCTCTTTCAGTACTGCAGAACAGTGAAAAATTCGGATGACCTTTCTCTTCCCACTGTATTCCATTGTCAAATGGCTGCGCAGATCATCAGTCGGTTCGAGCCTGAATCCAGCCTTCACAAGTTTGCTCGCGGCCAGCGACCCAAGGAAGTCAGACAGTCTGGTGTCGCCTAGACTACTCCCTAAAAGACCAGGGCTCGTACGTGGAAACGCTTCGCAAACGAAGTCTGTGACGGTCACGTCGCTTCGCCAGGAGATAGATGGGCCGCCTTCCTCCAGGAAATCCGCACAATTCTGCGATGTTCCACAATTGGTCATGAACATAACACTAGCTGCTATATTCACCGCTCGGTCCTGATCCACGTCATTTGTGCAAGGTTTCCCGTTCGAATTCCCGACCGAAAAGTGAGAATTGATAATGCGCTCTCGGTCCAGGTGTGGGTTGTCTCTGATGGCCTGGATGAGGCGGAGAAGGTCATCATGGGATGACAAGGCTGGACACGAGAACGTGGTACCTTCTGGCGCATATTCCTCGGTCAGCGCCCTGTACCGATCCCAGAATGTGTCAAATCGTATTGCGCCCCTCCATGGACATTCTAGCTGACTGCACGTCGCAGCCCCATTGCATGTGCTACAAAGGTCCCAGTTCCACAAAACCTTACCCAGCTTCTGCAGTTCTTCGGTATTCACCGTGTCTAACACAAACGGTGTCGTGGGAGCTGCTGCCATCGGAGGATGAGACCGGAGTACTTGTCGTGTTTGAGCGTGAGAGATGCCTTGGAGCTGCTACCTTTTCTTGAAGTTCAGCCTGCCAGGCTCACGCGTGGCTGAGTACTTGCATGATTGGCCGCCACACATGCGGACCGACATGGCTGTACTTCAATTCATTGGAGTACTGGCTGACAAGGCACTCTTTCGGGCAGATCTGGGCGCTGATGCATCAACACCGGGGAATTTTTCACTCTCGCTTCTTACCGGTCATGTATCCCATGCGTTGTGTGCTTAGGTTCACAGAAGCAGTGATCTTCTTCGACCTTTGACTTTGTTAACATTCTTGTCTTCCCGCGTACAGCATGCAGGCCCCTTCTCGCACAACAACTTCCCCAGTCGCCACAAATACTAATAATACTATTAGCCAACCTGTCGGCACAATCAATGGCTTGACGCGATTCGAGAAAGATGTCGACGAGAAGACCAGCCTATATTTCGAGGACGTCACCAAACGCCTGAAAGGTGAGCTTCTGCAAAGCCTGCGCAAATCCAAGAAAAACTTTCGACCCTTCGCCATACGTCTACTAGTCTTGGGAACGGATGAAAACTCAGCCAAACCTTACATCGTCGTGTTCTGTCCAGCCTGTGTTAGCGATTTGGTTGAGAGATATTTCCGAAGAGATACCCCCAGACGCCTCTGTCAACCTGGCAAGGTTGGCCCAGCATCATTCGATGTAATTGTTGTAGGCAAGCCGATACAGCCGACTACATCGCAGCATCTCTGCCCAGTCTTTATCAAAATGGGGCACATCGGCAATAGGCATCGGAGATATAGGAATATCCCTTTCAAGATTGACGGTATTGGCGGAACTCGTTACGCTACAATGGGAGGTTATATTGTTGTAACCGATAAGAATGGGGTTGTATCAATGTATGGCTTGACTGCTGGCCATAGCATTGTTCAAGACGATCTCGAGGAAGAGATCGATACCGAGCAGGCCAACGAAGAGCTCAACGCAGAGCGAAATCTCTTTCCCGATCTCACTACGTTTGCACCCTTACAAGTTCTGGAATCAGCGGAGAGCCCGACAATGCGAAATGCCACATACAACCTTCCCACTGACTCTCGGGAATCGATTGAGTGGTCCAGCACCGCCGACGTCGCGTCAGCGTCCTTCTCCACCCGAGCATGCGATCGCGATTGGGCTTTGTTGGAGGCAATATCGGACGAACCTGGCAGCGGTAACCAAGATGGGCAAGCTTTCGAAAGATATATCTTAGGCAACCCTAACTCGTACACCGTTTTGGTGGACGAAAAGGCTAAGATGAGTCTTCAACCTCCATTCATCGGGCAGCTGTCCCGTCTTCCTTCGTTTGCGATTCTGTCCTATGGTAACGACTTTGTACGAGTTCACACGATTACAACGCGGAACAATCAGAGTAAGTGATCAGCACTTAGCTTGGGTTAACTTGTTAACGAAGAGTAGGGATACCAGCAGGCACCTCGGGTACCTGGGTATCAACGGAGCTGACCGAGCCAGTGAGCAGCATGCAACCACCAAGCGCAACGGCAACCTGTTCGAATGAAGGGACAGGCAGCACAATCACTGTCCTCGGGCAAGTGGTCGCGGATGACGCCCTCGGAGATGTTTACATGGTTCCTCTTTGCGACATTCTTGATGACGTCAAAACTGTTCTCGACGCAGAAGCAGCAAGATTACCAGAAAGCAATTCGGAGATTAATGCCATCATGCGCGTGATACATGATACGGGAATCGCAAGTTCGGAAACTGCAGCGAATGACACAGCATCCACCCGACTGTCAGAGCATGAGGCTGGAGCATCATCTGGTCCGCACGATAACACGATTTGCACACAATGCGGGTCCAATGATCACAAAAAGGAGATGTGTAAACTAGCATATGCCGGTGATGATGGGGGAAGCTCCGCGGCTACTTTGCCTGCAGTGACAACTTCATACAGTTCATACGCTTCAAGCTCATATCAAGACAAATATGTCTGGTATTGCCACTGCTGTAGGAACGGTCCAGTCCTTCTCTGGCAAAACATTTGCACAGAATGCAGCCACGAGAGGTGCCCCGGTTGCAGAGTTGAGATTACAGGATACTAGCGCATCTAAAGGGTTGTGGCTGGTGGCTGGGAAGTGGCTGGGAGGCTGAACGTCGCTTACGTCACAGCGACTTCCAATGCGCGAACGAAGGCCCTGAGGCATTCACGTCCCGCCCTCGTTAACTAAACCTCGCCCGATCTTTCTTGTGATCGACGGCAATAGTACTGAATTGATAGCGATATCCAAGACGTCGCAATTGAACAAGTGCGCAACTTCAAGCCTCCGCGAACATGCCACCAAAACGCCAAAAAGCCCCTGAGCCAGCTTCAACACCCGAGCCAAAGAGGCGTGTCACGCGCTTATCTGCCAAAACAGATACAACAGAGGCGAGAAACTCACCAGACTCACCAAGCGAACCGCCTAAGGAGGAGCCAACGGCGTCGAAAGAACGCCGCGCGCCCAAACCCAAGAAGGGTTCACCAAAGGATGCGGAACCAGAGGCAGACGCGCAGCCCGATGAAGATAGTGACTTAGCACCCCAGAATCGCAGGAGCCTCTTTATGGAAAACGAACTCGTCAAGAAACCGTTCAAATGCCACCTCTACCTCCCCGAACCAATACCCAAAACACCAATGCTAATCTTCACCCACGGCGCAGGCGGCACGCTCTCCGCCGAGGCCGTAGTAAACTTCTGCACCGGCTACTCCTCGTCTCAGCCCGTACTCACGTTCCAAGGCTCCGTGAACCTCAAGGCGCGGACTAAGAGCTTCCACGCATGTATCTACGACTACGACTATGGCCAGTGGATTTTGCGTGCTGGGAGACCAGCGGACACCGTTGTGGAGAAGAAGTTGTTGCTAGGCGGACGAAGCATGGGTGCGCGCGCCGCTGTCATCGCTGCCAGTGAACATCTCGCCTCGCTAGACGACAAGGAAAGAGCAGAACTGAGCATACAGCTCATACTCGTTTCTTACCCACTCCTCGGGCCCAAAGATGAACTGCGCGATCAGATTCTCCTCGATCTCCCAAAGAACGTCCGCATACTCTTCATCAGTGGCGACGAAGACGCCATGTGTCCAATCGATACGCTGAACGAAACGAGGGATAAGCTGACGGCGAAATCGCAGCTTGTCGTTGTGACTGATGCGAACCATGGCATGAATGTCGTACCGGCTAGCAGGACGCAAAGAGTAGGAGAAGAGACAGGACGATGGGCAGCACGATGGGTGCAAGGGGAACCCATGGACGATGAGGTGTTCATCGATGAGCTGGAGGGCGAAGAACCTTGGAAGTAGTAGGAGAATGAGTCCACAACAATACCATCCCTCCCATCTCCTCACCTCAAGCTAACCAACGACTACACCACACCCCTCCTCTTCAATACCCACCTCATTAACCCCCCACCCTCCCTCTGACCAAAAAGATACCAACCCCCTTCTCCCCCATAAACCTCGCCCAAGTCCTCCCATTCACTCGCGACCTCATCACACACCCGTCTAGCCTCTTCCCCCACCCTCTCGTTCTCAACACCGTTAATCCACCTCATCAACTCCTTCTGCGTCTCTACCGCCCTGTCCCACCGTTCGAACAGATTGCCGATTTGGCCAAGCTGGGGGTCTGCATGGGTGTGCTGGGGGAGGGCTTGGTTGATGCCTGTGCTAGCGTCCTGTTGTGCTGTTTCATGTGCGATGCTGGGGGCTGATGATGCCTTCTCCACGAATTGCAAGATATCAGGGTTGAGTAGCCGGGCTTCGGGGTGGATGCAGGGGGTGGGGATGAAGCGACGGGTACGGGGACGGGTACGCCGTGCGGAGGTGTGGTGGGTGGGTGGCATTGGGGGGGTTTGAGGTGTACGTCGGGGTTGTCTGGGACAAAGTGTGAAGGTTGGAGGTGATGTCGTGGTCTGGTGTTGGATATTTCTGGGTGTGGGTGAGGGGGAGATGGGTTCTAGTGTGTATTGGGGATCGAGGCAGGCTGGTTGTGAATAAAAAGGGAAAAGTCAAAGGTAAAGTTTGGGATCGTGGTGGTTGTGTGCTGGTGGATATTTCATGCCAACCATGGTTTCGTTGTTGCTCGTGATGGGATGGGCAACCTCGCGCTTCAGATTGGACTGTAGATTTACCCACGCAACCCCGCTTGGAGCCATAATCAAGATACGCATTCAAGATGTCTCAACCCCACCCACAGTATCTCCGTCATTTTGCGCCTCGCTTTCCCCTCCACCGTCCTGCCCAACTTCAGACCCCTTACTCTTAAAAACTTTGAACTCCTTACTCACAATATCCCCCGTCCCATCACCCACCCTCCTCACCTCCACAACCCCACTCTTCTTCCTCAGCACAACACTCCACACCCCTTCACCCACCACAACCTCCTTCAGCCATCCCAGAAACTCCGTCGCGAAATTAATGCACACATTCCCATCCCAGCAGTTCGTGCCCTGACGCACCATACCCGGTATCTCATGCGTGTTAAACGTCTGTAGACTCCTCAAAATGCCAGCTTTACTCCGAAAGCCCACGGTGATTTTAGGTACGCCGAGCAAGAACGACTGGGCCCAGAATTTGAGGAGCTTGCGTTCGAATTTGAGGATGTCGCGGTGTTGTTGTTGGCGAGGGGGAGGAAGTTCTTCGCTTGTCTTCAACTCGACCCATTGAACCTGCTCATCCGAATTCGTGGGTTTGGGTGCAAGAAGGCCGTCGACTTCGCCGCCAAGGATGAGGCTATGGGGCCCGAAAGATGTGTGGACGATGGAGCAGTGTTGCGCGTGGTTCGACACGACGCCTTTCTGGGACCGTTCAATCTCTTGCCGTGGCGTGTCTTGAGGTAGGGTGGGTATAAGAGCGAGTTTCTCGAACTTGTAGCCCCAGTATGTCATCATTTCGCGCGATTGCTGGTCGGGATGTTGGTGACGGGGAGGTGGGCGCGTGCTTTCTGCTGCGCGGTCGGCGGCTCGGGAGGGGAAGTCTTCTTCGATGTAGATGGTGCTGTTGTGGCGGGTTGCGAACATGCTGAATTCGGCGAAGTTGTCGAAGGGGGCGGTCATGATCTGGCGGGGTGTTAGGAACTGATCTGGAGGAAAAGCAGCAGCAAGGTAAGAAAGCTGGTTTCGCTTACCTTGCTAGATCTTTTACCTGTATGCTTCAACATACCTTGGTCATCATGCCTCGCCAGGTCATGAAGTCGGCCTTGACTTCCTCTTTGCCCGTCTTGTCTTCCATGAGCGCCCTTAGCAGACTGTCCAGATGGGGATCTTCCTTGTCTTCATAGTGCTTGAACGTCTCGAAACCCTCCTTCAGATCTGCGCCCATTGGAGGTGGGATGTAGTAGTTGATGCCCGACTCATCATGCTGGTACTCGTGGTTATCGTCGTATGAGAAATGTGCGACTTCGCGAGGCCGCTTTATCTTGGCCGACGCGCCGCGGAAGCGGTTGACTGGCTGTATCGAGAAGCGATGAACTGGGGCATCAGGCGCCGGAGCCGTGCTCTTAGCGGTCGGCATTTCTGTATTCGTCGCCGGAGTTGAGACTGGAGCAGCTGCTTTCGGAGGCGCGCGAGTTCTGGGTCGTTTCCGAGGCGGCGATCGATCTTCTGTATCCGCCGGTGGGCTTGGCGATTGCGCAGGAAGATCGGTAGAAGCCATGATGTTGTTGTTTGCTGTGGGTGTCACGAAGACGCGCCTCAGGTTTCGCCGCGGGAGTGTCGCAATGCCAAACCCCAGCCGCCCCACCAAACGCTTGTACCTGACTAGCTACGGCGCGCCATCCATCCCACCAACACCAAACCACCATCGACATCCAACCTCACTCAACATCCCGACTTACACCTCTCCGAACAAAACACCTGCTCAGCCTCATATCTCCATACAACCAAACCACCATGGACAACCGCGCAATCCGCCTCCCCCCAACAACCCGCCGCAACATCTTCGCCGCCCACACCGCCCAGCAACAACAGCCACAACCGCAACAACAACCCGCGCGCCGCCAGAACCAAGCCGCACCCTCCATCCGGCCCGACAGCCGCGAAATAGAACAAGATATCTTCATGCAACCCACTGAAGACGAATTCGTCGAGCGCGACGACATCGGTGAATACATTGTCAAAGCGCCGGCGCCGGTGTACAGGGAGATGGGTGTGGGTAGTGAGGGGGATGAGGAGGGTGGTATGTTGATCCCATTCCCATTCTCATTCTCCGGGAGAGAAGACGGAGACGGGTGTGAGGTTGTATGGGGAGAATGCTGACATGTGCATGTGAACAGAGCAAGAGAACGAAATGATTCAACTCTACGGCAAAACAAACGCACAGTGGGATGCCGTTGCGGTCGAAGAAGAGATTCGGGCTGCGTTGAAGAGTAGTCTCAAGAAGAAGGTGGCTAGTTTGGAGGATGATAGGTGGATGTTTGAGGGGGAGGCGGAGGGCAGGAAGTAAGCTGGGGTTTTGTTGGAGATGGGTATGTGGATTTGGGGGTTTGAGGGAAGTAGGATGCGTTTGGTAGTTTGATACCCTGGTATATGATTATTGACATTGATGCTTGTCTGAATTGGTCTGATGTTGTGTGGAATGTTGAGTGAGGCTTGTATGTCTTCGATGAATTCTCGTGTGATGGAAGATTGTGGATGGTGACGCGGGGAGGTAGTCAGTACGAGGTTCGAGTGGCTTCTTAGGTTTATCAAGCATGCCGCCGAAGACATGGTGTCCTCAGACTGGGCTTCTCGAGTATGTCAATGGTACATGGTGACTACGTGGAGGCGGAGGTTAAGAGATAGTCCAACACAAAAACATGAATACATCCCAGGTTAAGAGATAGTCCAACACAAAAACATGAATACATCCCAGGTACAACATATCAATGACAAGTCAAAATGCAAGAGTAATCAAGTTCATTCGCGGACTTACGCTCATCATAGCTGCCGCATCTACCAACCCCCCATCCTCAATCCCACCACCAGCCCAAACGCTCACCAAGAAAACAAAACCTGGGTATCAAAACACATTCCTAAACGCCTCTGCCCCTCTCACGCCCGCCTCCCAGTAACCCCGCCCAAAACACCCAAAACTCTGAAGCCGAATTAGCAAAACCGCACAAATCCAAACCATTTAACAATAAAACTTACAGCATCAAACCGCCTCCTCATACTCATCCCCACCATACAGCCTGCCCGCCCAATTGACCGCATCCTCCAGCACGCATTTCTGGCGCCAAAGCTCATCAAACTCCGCCTCCTCATCCTCGTGCAGCCCCGTTGTCTTCAGGAAATCCAGCCACGGCTCCATGCGCCACAGGTGCCGCTCGAGCATCGACTCGAGGCCGCGGAAGAACCAGTAGAGGCGCTTCTGCGCCGGGGAGTCGGAGGCAGGCGGGAGGTGCGGGAACTCCGCGAGGGAGGGGACGTGGAGGTCGGAGAGGTTGATGGTGAAGTTTTCCATCTTTGTGATGATGGAGATGCGGGGGTGAGGAGGGAAGGTGGTTTTGTGGTAGTAGTAGTAGTGGTGGTGGTGGTAATTGAGCTTGTTGTGATGGTAGTGATGGGCTTGTTGGTGCTGGTTTGGGGTGTTGGGGAAGCTGGTTTTCGAGCTTTTATGTGGGCGATTTGGGGGTGCCAAGACTGCGTTTGGCGACGGTCTGGCTTCGCTATTGTTGAGCGCTTTACGCTGTAGTGACGGTGACGGCGGTATTCAGCGAGGCTGGAAGGACGGTCTGCTGCTATTGAGAGGAAGGCGAGCTAATGTTTTGGTGTAGGATATCCGAAGTGGGGTCTGCATCGACGAGGGTGAAGTACATACTTTACCCCGACGCCCTCATCACAGCGACGCCTTTCGACGAGCCCTTACACAGCGCGATGTTGCTACCGCCCTCCCTCGAGACGCCGCCGTCGTCCTCCTAACCTACGATCGTATACGCCTCAAGCCGCTACCACGAGCGCCCCGATCGTACGACGAGACCGAGTATACAAGGTGGACGCACAACAGGGACATGCGAAGGCACACGATCGGGAGGAGACTATACGGCGAGGCAATGAGAAGGTTCTTGTACTCAATTGCCAGCCCTTGGGTCGAGGGTATGTCGCAGTCGAGTCGAACAGCGGAGGAGGCAGCGCCCTGTCCGCCAGCAACGAGGCTGACAGTCCTTCTCGTCTTGCGCCCCCGACGCCAATGGCAGCAGCTCTAGGCTATCGTGCAACGGGCGGCGTAGAGTTGGACTGATACTGGGGTTGAGGAGAGGCGGAAAGGTTGACGGATAACTGACATTGGACATGGAGGATGGAGCTTTACCAGGAAAGGGGCAGTCCAGTAGCTACAGACCAGGGCCATTCCATGCTCTCCGTATTCTTGCTGGCTTCTCGAGTCGCATAGTCTCCTGATGAGGATGGTGATGGTCCCGTCGCACGGTCTCCTTGACCTGCCTTGTGGAGTTGAGCCTTTGGTCGCGGACAGCCAACATGACGGAATTGGTCTGAGGGAAAAGGGCAATGCAGTAGCTACAGAGCTGGAGTAGTAGACGCTCCCGGTCTGCATCTTGAAGTCGCTCGTACCTGCCTGCCGTAAAGGTCGTGATGTTCTCGTCGCGCGCTCTGCCAGCCCGCCAGACCCTGGGCCTTGGAGGAGCCATTTGGCAGCCTCGCGACGAGCAGTCCCAGGTTTGTCATGCGATGTTCATGAGTGACACAACGCTTCTTGTGATACGAAAGTAGAGCTTGAAGCTGTTCACGTCCGTTCAGGCCGCTCGAGTCGTTGTCGCGGCGGTCGCGAGGGTCTTCAGGCCACCTTTCCGCAGAGCATGTTGAGGGTCGCCATTCGAGCAGCGCTTCTCTTGTGCATGTCCAGTGAATGTTACCGCTCAGTCTACGTGCCCGGATGTTGCTCTGGCCCTCGCTGTCATCGCTCCTGCTGTGAGTCGCGAACCTGTAGCCCCCGCCCTTGGGGCAGTCGCGGACCGCGTTCTACAGCAGAGCCCACATGTAGTGTTGAGTTTCTGTTGACGAGCTCGAGGTCGCCTTGAAGACAGTCTTCGTTCCCAACAATGCAAGTGACCATGTCTGCGCCCCTTTGAAGCTGGCAGTCAATCTTGAAGTCGCGAATCGGCAGGCTCCGCCCCTTTAGCCGTGACGAAGCGCGCTCGAGAGGACAGGTTACTACATAATGCGGAGTCCCTTTTGATGAGCCTCTCGTCGGTCTCAAGATCGTTTTCAGTCTCGGAAATGCAAGTGATCACTTCCGCGCCCCGTGAAGCTGTCTGCACGCCGGGAGTCGCGAATTGTAGCTCCTGCCGTTTTGGCAACCACGAAGCGCGCCCAAGGACAGCGGCCACCACAGAATTCTGAGTTTCTACTGATGATCTTCTCGTCCTTCCCGTGGTGGTCCTCATTCCCAATCATGCAAATGGTCATGCCCGCGCCCCTGTGAAGCTGTCCGCATGCTTGAGGTCGCTCTTGCTCGCCCAGCCAGCTTAGCACCATCCCGCGGCCTCTGGATTCAGAAGAAGCTGCTGAATCTCAGGGGCGAGATTGTGTTTCTCAAAAAGCTGGTTCCCGATGCCACGTTTTCTGGAGTCTCACCGTCTCCACGATGTTCAGCTTTGGAGTTGTTCTCCGCCCCGCTTCAACGTGCCTTCCCAGAATGACCGTGTTTGTTCCCTGCCTGCCACAAGCAGTCGCTGCTGCCTCAACAAACAGACTGACGCGGCGAAGCTTACGCGTCTGGGAATCATGCTCTTGATCGCCCCCCGCTCGTTGCACACGCTTCCAGCTGACAATGTGCATGTGCCGGCCTCATGAGCTCCCCGCGGACATCGTGAGATCCACCAACACGCTTCTAGGGCGTGTCTGAGGGGCTTCTCCAGCTTCCAGTCAGGGAGCCTGGCAATTTCTCTCACTTCCACGTGGATGAGAGGGAGATTTGGCAATGCCACGTAGACTTCGAGACAGCTCATAGCGCTCCCCTTTATCTTCCAACTCGCTGCACAGGCTTCTTCTTGCACCATTCTCACGCACTTTCACATCTCCGGCGCTCCTTCACGCTCCTGCCACTCTTGTCGTCCTGCCGCTCCGGTGCCCGCTATTACGCGGCCAGACGTCCTGGACGACGCTAGAACCGGTGAGTGGGTCCTCGAGATAACGTGTAAAAGCGGTTGAGGGATGGAACTTCAACCTCAGGCTTCGTCTTGCAGCTGCGATGCATCACCAACTCCATTGATGCCTCGTATGCCTGAAAAGCAGAAGTTGTAGAGCTCGTCGAGCGCTATCTCCTCATGCTCGTCTGGCCCCGTCCGGTTGGTGGTTCTCCTGGAGTTGTGGGATATCCGAATCGCTTCCTTCAAGTTCCTCCGCCAGGCCTCGCCGCGACTTCCTCACCAGGACCTTCTCTCTGACTCTTTTGCTCCCAATGCGAACGGTGAGTTCTCTGGCCTCAGATACTGCCATCACCTGACCTCCGGAGCTTCGGCGCTAGTGCCAGTATATAAACAGCCCTTCCCCCGCGCCTTCCATCTCTTGCCCACTCACACCCACTCAAATCCCCATCCCCACCTGATATTGACAGACTCCTTGCTTGAGCTTTGCCAATCATCCACCTCTTGCCTTCATTACATCCACCTCTTGTACAATACCAAGACCCTTCATCGACACCTCAAGATGTCTCACCCTTCACCAAACTCCTCGTCGGCCAACGGTCCTCCCTCATCCCCCTTCGAGGGCACCAACCCAACAGTTTACTCCCCGGACAACGAGCGCAAGCCTCACCACCGTCGTCAACTGACCGCAATCCCTATCGGCAAGCAGGCTGCCAAGAAATTTCTTCCTGAGCCGCCGGCGTATGTCGAGGGTGCCTTCGTCGATGAGCTTGATGAGTTCGTCAACACCTTCGTCTCTCGGTACTTGTACGTCGAAGGCGGCCATGATGCAGAGCATCTCAAGTTCCTGGTGCAGAACCAGATGAAGCGCGTAAGTGTCGTCCCCTTCCTCCACCATGCTTCACACTAACCTCTTGCAGTACGACTGCTTCAAGCACTCGGCCATCTTCCTTCAGGATCCTCACGCCGCTATCTTCATTCGATTCGACAGCCTTTCCGACGCCATCGAAGCTCGGGACCTACTCATCCAGGCCGGCTTCGCCACTCATTACGCAACTATGGACGACCTCGCGCGCTCCATGCCCAAGGACATCCGCGATATCCAACCGTTCGAAGGCCAGATGTTCTTGTCAATGTTCATCGACGCGAACCCCGAGCACGCCGTTTGGGAGTTCACTGCTGAGGACTACGAGGACATCAAGCACCAAGTCGACCTCATCGCGAGGGAGTTCGGTATCGTCCGCAACGTCGTCCACGTCGACACTGTTCACGATGAGATGCGACTGATCTTCCGGATCGAGTTCGATTCCATCGACGCTGCACAGCGCGCCATCCAGTCTCTTCGCCGCACGCCTGTCTATGGCTTCGGTGCTGATGTAAGCACCTCACTTCCAACTCTTCTGTTCTTGCTAACCTTCTCACAGAGATCGTACTTCTGGTCCACCATCAACGTCGGTGACTGGGTCGATGAGCGTCCGCTGGGCTCTCACCGCTTCCAACATCGCGGCGATACTCGTCGCCCGTACCGCGGTCAATTCCGCAACGAAGACCCCCAGGATGAGCATAACCGTGTCCGTCGTGAGCGCATCCTCGACGGCAGCGATGTTCGCACCACGGTCATGCTCCGCAACATCCCGGCAAATTGCGACTGGGTAAGTCCTTCCTTCCACGTCTGTCCCGAAGCCTTGCTAACTCTTTTGACAGATGACGCTCAAGAACATCCTGGATCAGATCTGCTTCGGCACTTACGACTTCGTATACCTCCGCATCGATTTCAAGAAGTGTGCCAACGTCGGATACGCCTTCATCAACTTCACGGATGTCGGTGGGATGCTCATGCTCCTCGAGATGGAGTTCCGCTACTGGCCTGGTTTCATCTCCGACAAGAAGTTCGGGATCTCGTATGCGACAATCCAGGGACGCGAGGCGCTTGTGCAGAAGTTCAGGAACTCCTCTGTCATGCAGGAGACTCCTTACTGCCGCCCGCGCCTGTTCATCACTCAGGATGAGGCCGAGTTGATGAACTCCATTCGCCACGCCGGTACCGAGCTGCCTCTCCCCCGCCCCGACAACATTTCGAAGTTGCAGCGCTCCATCGATAGTGCTCGTAGCACTGGTCTGTTTGCTCCTCGAGCTTACTCATCCGGTACTGAGTATCGCCACCACTTTAGCACTTTCGACCGCGGTAGCCCTCGCGACAACTACCAGACTGCTATGCACCACGCGCAGCAGCACGCCGCGCCCCTCCAGTTTGCCGGCTTGACTGAGGCTCAGAAGCAGAAGATCGAGGCCTGGTACCTGCACGTCTTCGGCGGCGGCCACCGTGGACCCATCCCCTTCGACTCTATCCCCATGACCC